GAATTCACCTGAACAGAACCGGAGCATTGCCACTGAATTGATTCCCTGGTACGAAGGGCGTGTGCACGCAGCAATTTCCAACCGTGAAATAAATTCACGTGAACAGAACCGAGGCAAGGCTGCTGAATGGACGTGCTGGTAGATGGCTCGGTATGGACATCAGATGACACCGACTGCTGCTTCCTCGACGCGTGCGGCTGCGTAGGCGTGGACGACGGCTGCTGCATTGCCTTTTTCTCCTCGCACAGAAAACACCCACTCCGCGTCGGACAATGATCACTGTAGAGAAATTGGATACAAACGCAGGGGATACATTGGGCTGTCGCACCCTCCTCGTGCAGCTTACAAGGGATATATATAGAAGAAATTTAGGACTCCTAATAGGAAACTAATCCTATAAACTAATCCGAATATATTGTGAGCCCAAAATTCGGATCACATATTTAACAGGTCGAGGTGGCCCATTGAATAGGGCCCACAATTTTTGGGCCTCCAAATTAAGTATATAGTATTAATTTCATTAAGTATATATTTCTATATACTATTCATTAAGTATATAGTATATATATTTTTATAGGCATTAAGTATAGTATTTAATCAGATAAAAGCACATCAAATCCATTACGTATATATAGAAGTTGTGCTTAATCATTGGTTCGTAGCTCTCCGAGTCTCCCGTTGGTTAGTCTCCCTAATTAGATCACTAGTAATATGCGTGGTAATGCTACGATGATATTTGAAATGCAAACCAAACATAAATGTGTCATGGTCAGGATTACGTACGTATCGTCGCAGAGGCACGCCGGCTCAGCAGGACGCGGCAGCAGGGAGCGCAGCGCGTCGCGCCTGATCAGCCGCGCCGGACGGCAACAGTTCTATCCGCTTGCAAATTAGATAAAGTTTGTTAACTCTTTTCCTTAATTACCAGTTTGTTAGCTATTTCTTATAGTAATTTGGTTACCAATTGTAAGCCTATTAAGAGGTAGCATTCGGATGAATAAAGCAAGCAAATTCAATCTACAATTCTCATCTCCGATTCTCTGTTTTCTCATCTCCTGTTGCTGCCGCCACGGGTCGATGTTCGACCAAGCTTCCATGTCCTCGCCCTCCGATCACCCACTGATATCCCATTAGATTATGCGCAGGGGCTCATGACAAAATGTAATATAACCGAGCTTGAATAAGATATATTTAAGATTGATGAAAAATGAACGATATCGATACCAATGCTTTGCCTAAAGAAGGCTTGAACCTATCGATGCCATGCGACATCAAATTGCATGCTGCTATGCAACACCTTAAAATTTTCGAATCTATAACAGAAAAACAAAATTTGAAATAATTAAAAAAACTTTTCTAAAATATCATCTTACCGGTATTTTATTGGGTTTTCCTTTTCTTCTTCTCAAAAGGCCAGTGCTGAAATCTATTCGAAAGTTAATTTAAGGGCAATTAAATTCACATTCTCAAGTCAAACATGAAATTCAAAGGCAAAAGGTGTACTGTGTTTTTGATAATAAAGAAGATAGTAGGCTCTGTGTGGACTGCAAACTGCAAAGCAAAATATACAACCCCTTCCAAATAACGGAGCAACTGATATACTCTCTCCATCTTCCAAAATGTCTGGTTTGCCCTGACGACGCAGCCGCGCCTTTCCCAACCCGTAATGGCGGCGAACCCTACGCCGTGATGCCGCGCGGCTCGTGGCCGGGCTCGATCTCAACTGCCTCTACGCAATCGCTGGTGATGGCGATGAACGGACCTCGACAGCGACGAACCCTAATATTGACGGTAGCTCTCCTAGGCAACGTACGGTGACGAAACCTCATCAGTCCACAGCGACGAAGCCCAGCGGAAATGGCGTGCCTCTCCCGGGCGACGACGACGAACCTCTAGCGATGCATCTAATCAAGAAGCTCAAGAATAAAGAAAGGTTGCGCCGATAACCTCATGAATCTCGATCGCTGGCCGGAATTGTAGTCGATTTTACATACACAATGAAAGAACTAGCACAAGAAATATCTTTCTGATTTAGAGTACTCTGATACTCTTTCTGAATGTACGTACAGAAGAAAGAGTATATGTGCCGAGTACTGATTTTTCTTTTTTGGAATTGGAGTACTCAGAAAGTCAGAAGCTTTGATTGATTTTTTCTGAATTGGAGTACATGGAAATCTTGATTCGATTTCCTGAATTGAAGTACTCAGAAACCTTGGAGTAATTGGACTGGAGTATTGACTATTGAGAGACCTTGATTGATGTTTGAAAGGAGTCCAAAAGTACATGGTATTTTCAGTTTAGCTTCAGTATATTCAAAAGCACATGATGCTCATGAAGCATCAGATATTTGAATATAACTTCATTATTTTCAGATTTCTCATATATATAACCAGTAGTTTCAGTATATCTTTACCTATTATAAAACTTTAAGATGTTTTTGCCAACTTTAAGATTTCTCATATATATAACCAGCGGTCCAATTTCCTCCCCGTACGCGAAACGGACAACTCTAGGGTTTGCAGGTCGATACGATGCGATTTTGCTCTAATTCTTGAAAAAACGGAAAGAGAAGGAGATAAGGATCAAAACCCCTCAATCGTACGTCATCCCTGGGCGCAGTCGGATTCCCTCCCTTACGTGAAACGGACAACTCTAGGGTTTGCTATATGGCTTAATTCCGAGGTCGATACGATGCGATTTTGCTCTAATTCTAGAAAAAACGGAAAGAGGAGATAAGAATCAAAACCCCTCAATCAATTTTGGATTAGCTCTATGGATGCGGACAGATTTCACGGAGGGGACAGTTTCCGGCGGTGTTGGGAAGCTGCGGAATCGAACGGAGGTAGGGGATGACCTGTAGCACTGGGACCCATGCGACAGTGAGAGGAGAAGGGACGCTGATTAGACTTTGTGGTTGCTTGATGGGCTGGATGCGCGCTTGCAGGCAAAGGTGAAAGGGAGGAGAAGTCAGGTTAATGGGCCGGCTCGGCTACGGGCTAAAGAAAGAATGGGCTCAAAATGGCCCAGGGAGAAAGGAGGGTTTTCATTAAAATAAATGCTAAAATAATGTTTTAATTATTAAAATTAGCAATGGTGCTTTGAAAATACCGAAAAAATTTCACATAGTGTAATTAATCGTGGAGAGTTTAATAAAAATTAAATCCAGCTATAGTTTATTTGGAAAATTTTATTTTCCACATTTACCTTGATTTTTACGAGCCTTTTTTCTTCAACATCGTATACATGTATACATGTATAGTTGCGATTTTATATTTTAATTAATTACATAATATAAATATTTCTTAACCTTTTCTTAAATTTCTCATGTTTTTTCCTATTGCAGCGCACGGGCATTTTTCTAGTTCAAATATTAAGTATAAGAGATAATCCCTTATATGCCACTGAAAATTGGTCTAATCCCTTATATGCCACTGAAAATTGGCTCTTCCCTTATATGCCATTTGTAACACCCTGAAAATTCGACAAATAAAACGAAACTCGAAATTGAGTACTTTCAAAAACTTTTAAATAAATTTGCATCATGCCGATGTTATTGGTTCTTTTGTTGTGCATCATGATGGATGTTACGGTCATTATTGCTTGCCAAACTATAAAATGTCACAAATGAAAATTAAGCTAAAGCTATACAACTAAGTAATAGTTATAAAATTATGATATTTATTATGAACCCTACATATAATGGAGTGTTTCACTGGAATAATTAAGTTGATATTTATAACTTGCATTGAGGCTCTCATGGAATAAAATTCACTCGCATAAAATAATTAGTCATGTAAATAAATTGAGTTCTATATATAAAAAGGGCTTATATGAGTACTCGATTCAATATTTAGACCGATATTGCACCAAGTCTCACAGTGCCTTCATGGAGTAAGAATTAATTAAATAGATTAAACTTATCTATATGCAATACTTTGCCATACAAATAAACTCGACCAATGTGCTAATGTATTATTAAAGGTCACATTGGAATATTTAATTAATTTTTAAGGAATATCAAAGCCTAGACGTTATATTGGATAATTTTTGGATAATATAATGGAAAGCAAATTCATTTGGGAACTAATGAATAACAAAATAAATATTCAAATCAAACATTTGAATTCTCAAATACAAAATATATAGAGCTACATTTCATTCAAATTCCTATCCAAGTCACTTTTACAGATTAGCCCTCTTACTCTCTTCCTTTATCTTCTCCTTCCTTTTCTTTTGCTACTGTTCATGGGCCACCAGGTGGTCGACCAGAGACCTAGCCGGGCCGAACACCCAGCGACCCAGCCCCCACCACGCGCCCGTCTCTCCGTAACCGTGCACCACTCCACCGCGCCGCGCTCACGTGGGCCCCGCCGCCCGACCGAGCCGCCGAATCCACGCGCAAAAGCTGAGCTGCCACGAACGCGCCGTCACCATCGCGCATCACCCCTAGCCCTAGCCAACTACTACCTTAGCTCCCATGTGCACGCATCGCCATGGCCACGTCCGCCACCTTGCGGATGCCGGAGGGTAAGAACGGAGCCTTCCTCTCCAGCTAGGGCCGGCTAGAACACACAGTATAGACAGAACCTTAATGGAAAAGGAATCTAGACAGCCATTGAGTGCACCAGCTGCCGATCCTATCCTCCACGCCATCCAGGCCTATCCCCAAGCCAAGCCCCCATAAAAACTTCATCCCTATCTGCCTTTTCCTCGAATACATTTCATCGAACACCTTGTGTGCATGCTTCATCATCACCGGTTGGAACCGAAGCCGGCGTAGCTGACCGCGGGAACCGTCGCTCGGGCCGCCTCTACTTCCTCTGCTGCCTTGGATCAACGTCGGGAACCACGCATCGAACACCTGCAAGCGTCGCCGACCGCTAGCCGCCCCTGTTTCGTCCGCACTGAGCTACGCGCCGCCGAACTTCGCCATCCCGCTGTCTCTCGGTAAAACCTCGCTCCTATAGCTCCTCCTAGTCTAGTACGGAGTAGAAGCTAAATTCCCCACCAGTTTTGGTGATTAGCGCCCTTCGGCGTGCCGTCCCGGCCGCCGCTTCGCCATCGGCGGGCTCGCCGTGGGTAGGTCACCTCGAGCACTCTCCTTCCCACCTAGCTAGCAAAACGGAATCACCATAAGCTGTACAAGCTCTTGCGCCAAACTAATTGGTTAGAGACCTCGCCATTTGCCGAGTCCCCTTGCACCCTAGAGCTCGGCCATGGTGGCCATGCCGCGCCGCCCTGTGCTGTGGCCGCCGGCGGGAGGTCGCCGGACCCTCCTCCGCGCCTCCCCTGACCGCCGCCGGGTCGCCCTCGTCCGGGCTGGGCCGCACGCGCTGCGCCTCTGCTCTGCTCGATGGCCGGCGCGAGGTAGAAGACGATGGGGAAAAAGGAAAAGAACAAGAGAGAGAGAGATTATGACATGTGGGACCCACATCTACTTAGCACACAGTAATTCTCTTCCAATGATGATTATACCTGTCCATGACGCGTGGGTCCGGATGATTAGAAATTTAATTAAAACCAATATTAAGTTTACTCTCCATGACAAGCTGGACCCACTGGTAATTAAAACAGCCGGTTTGGCCCTAGTCAACCTGGGCTGGTCCCACGTGTCAGCCAATGTATCTTATGGATAATGCCATGACTAAAAATAAATCAATTATGAACAGTATCATTTCACAATTATTGGAATTAATTCAAATTTGAATCTTTAAACAAGTATAACTCACTCATTTTAGCTCGGATTTGAATGAAACTTGGACCTAAATTCATATAAAATCAAGATCTAGCTGATGGAATCACTTTTGCTATTTATTTTTGTACTGTTGAATTTTGGTGATTTAATTTGAATTCTAGTTGAATTCAAATCGAATCTTTCGCACGTACATATAGATTCCGAGGGAGTGGTTGAGTTGACTGCAGAACAGGGACATCAAATCTGTGAGCAAGGCAAGTCATCACTAATCTTTGAGCATGTTGGACCTATTGCGAACTTATTTTGATTTAAATAAAGTTTGCATGCTATTTATATGTGAATGTCCTACTTTGTTATATGCCATACCTTTGATATTGATTATCCATATAATCTTTGTAATCCATGATATCGTGTGTCTTTAGTCAATATTTGACAAATGCTTAGCCCATGCTAATTTAGATCCATGCATATTCATATTTATCAAAATGCTTTATGCTTGGGCAATTACCTTAATTAGGGAAGGTAATTGACATACGGCATGTGGAGACATGAGCGCCACATTGCCATGATAATGATGAGATGATTTGTGAAAGAAAATTAAACTAAACAAATGTTTTTGACTGGGGCGGCTGGAGGACTTGGGTGGTGTCCGATAAAGGCTAGTGCCGTCCCTGGTCAGTTAAGTACCGAGCCATTAAGTTAAGCATGAAACGACCCTAGTACAGCCGTACTTCTCGAATGGGTATAGACCTAGTGGAGTAGATAGCCGAGCGGAGGCAGTACCCCTGCATAGTGGTTTCACTTAGGTGTGTGGACGAACAAGCAGTCTGCTGGCGGATACCCGATACGGATGGCCAGAGACTGACTTGTCAAGACTACAAGACTACAAGGAGATACCCAAAAGAGGACAGCATGGATTGGGTTCAACTACAGGATGCAATGTTAGGCTTTCGTGAGTTTTCCCCCTCGGGAGCGCCAGAACTTCTCTCACTGCTAGAAACTTATGACGCCTAGAGTGCATGAGGACTCAAGTTCATGGAGCGGGTATTGCCAAAGTGAGGTTGTTGAAAGGCTTTGCCGTGGCAAGTCTCATTCGTTGGGACATAGGCTCATGTGTTGGGCAAGTCGCGTAGTACGGGTAAAGTGTACATCCACTGCAGTGTAAGTAAACCAATCTATTCGAATAGCCGTGCTCGCGGTTATTGAGCACCGGGACATGTATTACACTTGGCTAGACTCTAAACTCTTAAAATGATGGGTGGGATATGCATAATGATTTTTAGACTGGTGGATCAACTTCTCGAGAGGCGAGAAGGGGTAGACCCCAGAAAACCATGACAACCAGTGGCGGGAAGCTATCCTTGGGAACACAATGGATGGTGGACAGAACCGTCGCTGTTTAATGAACTACGGAGATAAAATTTGATCAGTTATGCTAGGTCTTAGGCTTGTGAAAAGAATAGCAAAATTGGCTTTATGCAAATAAACCATTAGCCTTTCATTGAATATCCTCTATCATATGCATCGTTGTTGTGGTGGCTTGCTGAGTACGGTTGGTACTCACTCTTGCTATTTACAAATTCCATCAGAAGCCGGTGATGAAGTCTCGGATGACCCATATGCTTACTACCAGGAGGGTGAAGAAGATGGTGGCGCTTAGTAGGTCTTAGTTACGGTCGTCGCCTGTGGCAATGGCGTCGCCGCTGCCTTGATTCCGCTGCTTATCTATTTCTGCTTTTGGGATGTATTCCGGACCGTTTGGTCCTATGTTCTAGACTATGCCTGCGGGCCTATGATGTAATTATTCGCGCTAGACAATCTTTGTATGCGCACTTGATATTTCAGCAATGTAATCGTGAGTACCAGACTACTTGATACAGGGAAATGGTACTATTCACACGAGTGATTCCTGTTATAAAAACGGGAGTCTACACCATTGGTCCAAATTTGCACACCCTCTTATGCCACTTCCGTCGGTTGACCGTGTGTTGATCGTTAACTCTTAAGTAAAAAAGACATATTTGTCCTCTCTGAGTTGTTAGGCATGCCCTATACTCAGAAGGGTAAATATGGCTTTTTTCCTTAAGAGTTAACGGTCAACACACGGTCAACTGATGGGAGTGGCATAAAAGGGTGCGTAATTTTGGACCAATGGCATATAAGAGAAGAGCCAATTTTCAGTGGCATATAAAGGTTCAGACCACTTTTTAGTGGCATATAAGGGATTCTCTCTAAGTATAATTCAGATTATTCCAATTTTCATCACGAAAAATTCAGATTGTCATTGTTCCAACTGTCATTATAGAAAAGTTCAGATTGTTCAGATGAACAATCTGTCATTCAGAGCAATGCAATGGCAATTGGCACTTGTTTAGACATTCATATTGTCATTTAGAACAAAGAAAACATCTGTTAATCAAACTGACATTTAGACTCCATCTGAACAAAGCATGATCCATCAGAACAAAGAAAACATTGTAATCCATTATTCCAATTGGCATTACAGACACAATACCAATTTTACTGACACGATACAAATTTGTCATGTTGACAATGATTCTACCGGCTCTACGCTAGAATTTCTTGATGGAATTCAAATTTGTCATGCTCAAATGGCAAATTTCTACCCCAAAACAAAGACTTTTCCTAACTGTAGAGTGCCTAGAGTGTCATCGACATAATGTCACCGCCTTGGATCACCACACGTTGGATGTGGCTCGCCAGGACATCAGAATCCAGTGTGGTTATCAGGAGGTTGACTTGGTCTGAATTTCTTAATCTACGAACAAGACTAAGCTGAGAAAGATGCATCTTGAAACAATAAGCTAATTTCTGCTGGAGTATCAAAATTCACAGCTTGCAGTGTCATTTGACCGAAGAAAGGTGTACTCTGCTTCCCTTATGTGTGAGCTATCAAAACTATTTGTACTCTATTTGAACTTACGGTGAACAAAATTCACAAGCACGAGATCCAACATCCATCTGATTCATCACGATGTCAGTTTATTGCAGGTACAAAGAGGATGGTACTGTAAAACAAAATTCAGAGTTCAGAGCCAGCAGGAGTATCAACTTCAGAGAAAATAAAACATGAGAACAAAATTCACAATGCAGGAGAGTGAACCTTGGTGATGCACAACGATGCCAGGTTCGTCGATGCCAAGATGATGCTTACCAGCCCCGTATCACTGGGTTATCTGAAACAGCAACAGGATAATCAACCTCCCATCACCATGGTAAGTTGAAGAATTTTTGAGATTTAGAATGTCGAGAGGAGGATTCTTGGGTGTGTTCGGCCGCCATGGCGAAGAGAGGCCGGTGGTGTGGATCCTTTCCCCATCTGTCGCCTTGTCCATAGCCTCCTCCGTCTTCTCAGATTCCAACCTGGTCGGGGATGGCGACGACGAAATGGACCCTCATCCGTTGTGCTGTTGTTGTGCACGAGCAGGGTTTGCAAGTTCGGTTGCCATAGAAATTTCGGTGGTTGCCGAGAATTTGAGACTTTCGTGATTTTCGGACCGAAATTATTTAAATTTTTAACATATTTTGACTGAATTTGAACAAATTTTGACAAAATTTGCAAATATTTGACAAAAAGCCAAAAATTCGGGGAAGATTTGTGCTTGCCGGTGGGGGCCGAAAATTACCAAAATTTCAAACCATGTGCATGAGTTGGAAGAACAAGGAAGAGAGGTGGCTCCGCCGTGAGATCGAGCAACGGAGGAGGCGGGGACGAAGGCAACGCGCGAGAGGCGGAGATGGCAGCGGTGGAAGGAAGGCGGGGGAGCAGAGGAGGAAACGGTGGCGAGAGAGAGGAGGCGGCGGTGGCGGGGAGAAGGGCAACGATGGAACTTTGCAGTCGCACGAAGGAAGAATTGAACTTCGGCATGGATAAAATGGAAAAAAAAAATGAGAACTGAAAATCTGCTTAGAGGTTTCCTTGTGTAAGCAATGAATTGGAAAAGGACAGGGCGTTCTTGTGTTTTGCTGGTTAAGGACTGTATTTTAAAAGGTGCAGATTGTCTACCAAAATGGTCCTAATGTGTGTATCATAGAGGCCCAGCACAACACCTGGGGATACACAGAATAGCATGCCCCAATGCTTACTGCATGTCATCTGTATGTCCTTATATTGCAACATGGCAGAACGTTTTCACTACAAAACAGAGTATTATATCACTGCACAAGTACAAAACCCAATTACTAATGGTGACTGCTAATCAAGTTGAAATACATCTTAATTCATTGACCAGATCAGTCGACCTGAGGATTGAGAAAATATTGTGCTTCTCCCTTAGTACATGTAAAAAAGAGTTTCTTTAGAGCACACCATACTACCTTATATTAGTGGGTTAGAGGGCTAATCCAACAGTTTGGATCCATCCTATACTTACCCTCAAAAAATAAAGAAAAGATTCATCCTATACTAATGAAATTTCCACAAGTAGTATAGATTAGTACGCAGTAGTATGAAGGAATTATGGGAAAAATAAAACAATGGCTTATATGTTATTTGTTTGGTTCACTTTAAGATTAGTGCACTCAACCGTTAGGAAACGATAAGCAAGCAAACGATATAAAAACAATAGATCAATCACAGAAGACACGAGATTTAACGTGGAAAATCCTCCCAAAGCAGGAGAGAAAAAACCACGAGCGTCGCCCAGCAAAATATCTTCACTATATCGGGATGAGGTTACAACGCCGCACGGCGGCTTACAAGTATGTACGCTTCATCGAAGACAAAAAAGCACATTCAGATCTCCGTGCTTATATTAGTGCAAGCATTAGTAATCAACAGATCAGAATGCAACAATAGCAATGCCAAACCACTCAATTCCTAATCTCGCATACATGATGAAACCACACTGAACGTTTGCCTTTCACAATAGATTAGAAATTGTGTGGTGCTAGTTGATCAACTAATAAATTATTAGTAGTAGCACATAATAGGGGGATTACTAATGACCATTAAACATTATATGCATGATCCACCAAATCTAGTGAAATGTCAAGGCCCTCTTTATTTAGGCTTAGGCTTATTGGCCTAGACTTTTAAGTCAGCTTATTGGCTTATATGATTTATAAGCCAGTGGATTTAATGTCCTAAGTTTAGTGGTGGAGTCATACATCTATCTCATATAAGCCAAAAAAGCTTCTCCAACCTAGCTTTTGGCTTAATAGTGTTAGAGTGGCTTATGGCTTAAAAAAGACAAATAAAAAAGCTGCTTGTTTATTTTGGCTTAGACTTTTCGACTTATAAGTTGGCTTATAAGTCTTAACAAAGAGGGCCTAAATATACTAGGAGTGTTCTACGCATCACCAAATCATTCATAGTACTTGCAGCTACAGATAAATTCATCAGAGTCTGTGCCTCAGCAAGAAGCGTCCTCCATTCAGGAGTCAGGACTGGAATCCTCGCAGCGACGAAGAACAAACGAGATAGAAAAAAAAATGCCCATTGGATTTCCCTTGGTGGCATTGGTGGGAAATCTTTTTAAGTAACCAAATCAATTAGTATAAAAATAACCACACAAATAAACGGCTGGATTTCATCTCTATCACTAGCATGGTGTACTGTAAAAGGACTCATAAGGAAAAGAGTAAAAGCTAACCATAAAAGGCAAAAGGTGTACCGTATTTTTCATAAAGAAAATACTAGGCATCTATGTGGACTGCAGACTGCATAGCAAAATATACAACCCCTTCCAAATAACAGAGCAACAGGTATATATGTTTGCTGCATAGACAATGTCACACTCACAATCCTTAGCATCATTGCTTCCATTCATACAAGTGAAGTAATTAGGAGTACAAACTTAGGTCAGTCCATATATGCTGACAAATCACACGAACACACACACACCCACAAACAAGTGCACAACAACAACTCGACTGCATGAGTATCACCCAATGGATCTTCTCATGCCTCTGAAGCTGATGATTTATTCGTCGATCTCTAATTAGCACACCACACCAGAAACGGTGCTAGAGATCAAAGTTTTCATATGCATGTGTGATCATCTATCTAGAAATTAAGATGATGCGTACAAAGTACGTACTCTGATGGATGGATCGGTCGAACAATCAGATCGACCAACCGGCCAAATGGAAAGCAAGCATGTATGGAGAAAATAACTGAGCACATAGATGCAGAGCTCACACACCAGTTGAGCATCCATTTTTTTAAAAAAATTTCACACAAAAACCAAGAAGCAGGAATGAACAGAATCCAAGCTAGTAACAAGCAGATGACGAGCGTCTGGATGCCGGCCGGAGATGTACTTACTCATCATGCATTAGATATTGCTGCCGTTGCAAATGATACGATGAAATGAGCGAGCACATTGAACACCAGCCCAAGTAAGGACATATATAATAGAGATAGATCGATCTGAAGATTTTGAGCCATTGGATGATGGAAAGGGAATGACACGTAGATGATTACTGTATCAAATATGTAGTGTATGGACGTATATATCGATCACCTAAAATTAACAAGAAAAGAAAGCACGCCAAGTCAGACAAAATTAAGAAAAAGGAAAATGATCGATCATATATATACATGATGGAGCAAGTAAAGTAATGAGCTTTATGTGTTTCTATGTATGTATGTATGTGCGTACAAGGAATGAAACCCATGTAACAATCATGTATGCATACAGACATACATACGTACCTGAGCATGGAGCCTCTGGGCAGTTTCTTCTTGTAGTAGCGTGAGTGGGTGAGCTCATAGAGGGAAGGATGGTGTCCCTTCTCCAACCCGTCCCACTGCAGGCCATCCCACCATTCCTTCTCGCAATCCACCTTGGGCTTGCGGGTACTGTCAAGACCAACAGCCGGTAGGCGGGTGAGGCTCCAGCAGCCTCGGATTTTGATGGTCTCGAGCTTGGGCGCCACAATCCTATGCCCGCAGATGCGTTGCAGAGAGGGCAGCTCGTGCAGGTGGATGTGCTTCAGCTCTGAGAATTCTTTAGTTGCCACCAGAAGCTCTTGATTATTATCATACACTCGGAAGACATCCTTGAGGTCACCACAACACACGATCTCAAGGGTTTCCAACACACAGTATGCATAGGAAGGTCTGTTGTCATATAAGGGAAGCACATATATCAACCTGGGGCAGCAATCTAGGTGTAGCACTTTCAACCAGAATGACTCTTTTGCAGGCTCAAAATGGAGCTGGCCCCTTGTGCTCCAGTCCTAGATGTGGCGCGCCCTTGTTAGTTGGGATGCCCAGAATGTCTTCAGGTAACAGAAAATTATGTTACTACCAGTACTAGGTGGAGTGAATACAACGCCTTCAATGTTAGGGCATCTCTCCACTCTGCACCACTTTAGGTTATACCATCTCCGTGCCTCATTTGAATGGCTTGTGATACTTGCGATAGACAAGCTGTCATGCACGTGCAGGCCTGAAGCTCTTTCACAGATGGAACCTGGCAAAGATGGCGACGACAATGGTTTCGTCTGCATCCTCTTATCATCTTGTAAGCTAATGTAGTGAGAGGTGCTGCCCTCCTGTTTATAAGGCCACATCCAGTTGCCGTTCATGGTTGCTTGTAGTTGCAAGTGCTGGATCGTGGAGTCGACATCCGCATATAACTTCTTGTTGTCAGCAGCTGGTCGTCGGCTTTTGGTCGACATCAACCAACGTTGTTCAGCCCTGCTAATGGCAATGGGCCTTCTCTTGCTTATTGTTCCGCCTAATTCAGAACCATCAGTAGTAGCAGTAGCAACACTAGCAGGAGGGGATGAGATCTCGATGCATGGTGCATCCAAGGGATATTTTGTATCATTTAGCGAGCGAAGGAGCCTTCTGTCCCTCACTGAAATATACCATTTAAATTCAACGGGTGAGAATGATGATGATTCAACTACACCTGTAGCATGATCAAGTTCTGTGCTACTAGTATCGATGTGCAGAACCTCCAATGATACATCTTGTGTTGGCCATAGTATTGCACGAAGCTCCTTGCATCCAAGCAGAAATAGCTCCTTGAGAGACCCGTTGCCTCGCATTGCACGTAGGTCGAGGGTTTTAATACAAGTGCCTGAGACGTCGAGTTGCTTGAGCCTCTCAAACACTCCTCTCAAAAGCACACTCTTCAACTGGGTGCATCCTCGGAAGGAGATGCTCTCTATGTTGGCTGTGACATCAACATCATTGTCATTGCTGCTGCTAGAGAAGCTAAATGACTCGAGTGATGGCGGTAGGTCATGAGGGTCAATTCGCGTCAACTCAAAACAACCATCAAGAATGATCGTCTTTACGATTTTGCAGCTAGATAGGTTCGGGAATAATGTTGCTGCTACCTGATCTTCCTTCCATACTTGTGACTGATGTTGATCTTCAGTTATTGGTTCGGTTGTGACTTGGAGCTTGACAAGGTTGAGTAGCCCAAGGGGCTTGGTGCTGCTTCCGACACCAGCACTAGAATTGTTACCATCACGGAGTAGATGGTTTATGCTCCAATGCTTGACCCCCTTCACATTTAGCTCCCTAAGCTCAACCATCAGATCTTGTGCCTCTACTGATAGCAGCCAATACCAATCTGTGTAACTCAGGTCAAGCACCCATAGCTTCTGGAAACATGCTCCACTACTAATACCAGTTTCCTTGTCAGTATCTCCAGCACTAGTACTATTTGGTGCTGAGCCGAGGTTGTGTTTGTCTTTGCAATGGTCAAGTAGGAGGAATCTTAGGCTGCTGCAAGAGAGGAAGGGTGGAGATGCAAAACTGAAGGTACAATCGAAGAGATGTATCACACGCAAACTGCGTGCAGATGGATGTTGAAACATTTTGGCCTCCAGTGATTTCTGTCTATAACAAGCTGTAGTTGCGTCGACATTGTTATTGCCAGCAGCATCACATGTCCAGAAGAAGGACGACTCGTCCACAAAATCAGAAGGCAGTCGTAGGTCTCTCAGTATTTCTTCCGCAAAAATTGGGTTGCTGTCGTAATTGTCCATGGTCAAAAACTCCAAGATCAAGTTATTATAAAGAGCTTGGGCTATCTCCCATGGCGATGAGCTATGACAACATGTACTACTAGTGGTGTCTGAAGAGGTTTGTATGATTCCACTACATACCCAATAGTTACCTGCGTGGGTATCCCAGTGCTGGGTGTAGTCCACATGTTGTTGTCTTAGCATCAACTGATACATGATGCACATCTTGACAAGCTCGGTGCTCATGCCAGCAGATTGAGGGACTCCGGTGTACCTGGCAACCTCCTCTGCCTCTTCATGCAGCAGCATTCCTATGAATTTTACAGCATCTTCATTGTCAGCGGTTGGATCAGCATATATAGCGACATCACTCAGCCCAGCAAGCTTATCCCGATCCTCCTTGCTTACGTTATCAATGTACAAGTCGGTAATCCGAAAGCTGCTTCGGGAGGTCCACAACACCGTTTTGTTCAAGATTCCTGTTATTACAGGGACACCACACTCTAGCAGATCAATGTAGCCATTGCTCCCATTGTGGAAGATCACCAGGAATGTGCGGCTGGCAAGAATGCTCAATATAGCCTGGCTGACGTCTTGTATTACCCCTCTAGCACTCTGCTCCACCCCACTGAAATCATCCTCCTCGTCGTGCTGGTCGAACAAGGCCATCAGCGACCAAGGAAGCTGCAGCTCCTGGGCGATGGCCTTCTGCAGGGCCCTCTTGCTCTGCCACACCGAGCAATCAACGTGGATCATCTTCTCCCACCTTCTTCTTCCTGGCGATGGCGATGGCCTCATTGTCAGTCTTTTGGCGACTGCTCTGAGGACGGCTGAAGCCCCCAGTCCACACCAGCCATGGAAATACATCACATTCCCCTCGCTTGTATCCTCCAGCAATTCAATTACCCTGCCTGCTGCTTCATCGATGCTGTCTGCTATGATCCTGGTCCACTGCAATAATTAATCATTCATTAATACCACTAATTAATTCAAACCTGCCCTAGAACTAGAGAGCTTCTCGGTCGGTGATTCCGCGATCAATACAGGCAAAGCTGAATTAGCTAGTTTTAATTATTTTCATTAGTATATTTATTCCCTCCGTCACAATGAAACAAGTTCATAGCTAAACAAACACACTAAAATCTTTTATCACAAATAAAATTCTAAAGAAACGCCCAGTTTTCTCGGTGGTGTATTTATTAATTACAATAGAATAAAGTGTAATAGACCACAAAAAGGTAGAGTGCAAACCGGCATATATATAATGTTACGAATAAAGTTATTAATTACACTATATATATTTTTTCTCTCTGCAACTAGCCAAACATAGCTTTTGAATTTTGAACAGGTGGAGTGTGAGAAATTTTACGGTTCTTGACCAATTACTTGTTATTATCAAAAGTTTACACTAAAATTATTTCTTTTATACATTGAGATACATAATACTTGATGTGCCAAAATTTATAGTATAAAATATGGTACCTCATGTTATCTTCTAAGGATGGTAAAATTATCCTTTTTGCAATTTATTTCTTCCACAAATAGAAGAAGTTTGCTCCGAGAGGATTGTTTGCAAATGAGATGTTAGAAAAAAAAACACCTCTAAAGCCAAATATGACAATGAAAGCGTGTTTCAAAAAATTGCGTCCAAATTGGAAATCTAAAATAGCAGTAAAGTTTGCCTTGTTTAATTCACGTGCGTGGTCGTGAAATAACTTTCATTCAAAAATAAAAACAATATCACCGATCTGATTTAATTACCTCCGCTGGTGGCATGTTGAGTTGATCTGCGTAGCCTGGCTCTCTTCAATTAATGTTGAATTGCGGTTAAGCGGGCAGCTTCATCGATCATATAATCTCAATCGATCTTCTTTCAGTTGATTAAACGCTCCTTAATTAGAAATGGATCGACAGCAGAGAATACATATATATGTTGAAGCAAGCCCTGTAATTAATTAACCCATGATATATAGATGCCTGATGGATCGATTTCTCCAGCCCACTCCTGATTATTTAATTACTCGCTCCAGCCTGCACATTATAGATACAGTAGTTCATGTATATACGCATGTAAAACATACTTAATAAATTAGTTACTGTACATGATTAATTTTGTACTAGTGGCCCGGCCCAACATGCGCCTGGGTTTCAAATGGACACAAGTGAATGCAAGTGTATTTTAATTTGATTAATAATCAACGACGAAAATGATATACTACACGGATGCATATCTATCTTTAATTCGTTCTCCCTAGGGATTGTTTTGAGGATAATGGAGAAGTGTTTACATGCATGTTATATAAACTAAATCATCTTTTCATATAAACGAAACGTACAAATTAAGCCAGACTTACAACAGCATGCAAGCATTTCATATATTTATATATGTGTGAACATCCCGTAGAAAACCAAATTAAATAATATACCACATAGCTAGAGATCTAACTAAAATTAAAGCTTATAAAACTGAGATGATTTTGTACATACATATATATATATATATATATGCATGTTGATGCATCAACACACACACATAGGGGGAGAGAGAGAGAGAGAGCGCAATTAAACTGCACGATATGATGTAGCTAGTTTACCTTAATCACGATGTTTGCCGACGGAGATCGAGTACATGGGGATTAGCTAAGCCATTGTTGGTGCGAGGGCGAGCATAAATTGAAACGATCAAACTGGATGCAATATGATCGATAGATCGATGTTCTGGGCTAGAGCTAGCAGAAGCCTTGTAAAAACGTACTGTCGTCTAGAATGCTTGCATTATTACAACATGCTTCGTCGATCTATTATTCCTTGCGTACGATCGATATGTTTGCTTTAGTATTTTTCTTTGCTTTGCATTTGCTGCAAAGCCGCAAATCGATATGCTATATGTACGTCCTAAGCTGTACCTGGATGCATCATCTGAGAGGAGGTACAATAGCAGACTATAAGCCAGCTATAAACATATATATTTTAAAGAGATAAAAAAGTAGAGAGAAAAGCAGTGGGCTACAGATCTGTAGACAGCTGTAGCACGGACTTCAAGACATAATATATGCTTCTATGACAGGTGGGATCACATATTAATAGTATTGTAAGCAATTGTTGTATAAATCGACTATTAAATTGGCTATAGATAATTTGGAGTTAGTAGTTGGCTAATCGTCGTATTCTTTGCTTCGCCTCCTTGATTAAAGTGCAAAAAGCAAAAGATAAAGCAAAAGGGATGTACGTCGTCAATCCAGGATACAAAAGCAGCTGTGTCTTGTTAACCCCAAGTTTAGAATATGATACCCTATACTCCCTCCAGTTTCATTTTAATTGACGTTTTGGACAATGACACGGTCTACAAGATATATCTTTGATCTTATTTTTCTATTATAATATATACAATAAATAAATGCATGTTTACTTTTATTATAGTGCTTTGAAAGAAAAATTTATATATGTTATTCTATTTTCTTTAAATTAAATATTTTTAAAGTTATTGATGGTCAAAGTTATAAAAGTTTAGCCTCAACCTTATTCAAAACGTCAATTAATATAGAACCGGAGGGAGTATAGGGTTAACTATCTCATAATGCATAAACATTTCGGGGTAACATAAATTACAAAATTTCAAACATAATTCCACAAACAATTAAATAAATCATGAATTTTGACATTTTTTTCTAAATTCGATAGAATACATTCTCCCTTGGAGTTAAACTAAATTTGAAACTTTGATTGGCATGTAGGCTACCTAAGCCACCATAGTTCAACCCCCCCCCCCAAAAAAAAAAAGAAGGAAAAAACAGGTTTGCTAATCTAGCACCACTACAAGATGGGTATTCGCAGGTAGAAAAAAAATGATTTTTCATGGGCGCCCAGCCGCCCCGCTTACAATTATAAGGCATGCGAAAATCATGTGGTCGACGTTGAAGTTGTTGTCGCTGTCCCTAAGAAGCCAGGGAGGTTCCACCACCACCGGAGTTCACGGGGTCCCAGCAGCTGGATCTAGCCTTCTCACCGTCGTCTTGCATGCCCCTCAGCGGCGAGATCGGTGGTGTGCGGCGGCGGGAAGGAGGCAGCCCGTGCCCCTCGGCGATCGGAGGCGGCATGCGGCGGCGGGATGGAGGTGGTCCGCGCCCCTCGGCGGTGGTAGGCGAAGTGCAGCGGCGTGCGGCGACGGGACGGAGGCGGTCTGCGCCCCTTGGCGGCGGGAGGCGGCGTGCGGTGGCGGGACGGAGGTGGCCCGTGTCAGATCTGGAGGTGTGACGGCATCGGCGGCCAGCGGATCCATCTCTCCCCCTCCCTCCCACTTTGTAATTTGTTTGAGATACGTTCTTGTTCATGCAAGAGTTCATTTGTTGCTATGATAATTGGTGTGAGATTTTGTGTCGCTCTTGTTCATCTGTTGATGTGGAATCTGTTCATCATTTGTTTGTTGTTCTTGTGGGTTCATGTGGGAGTTAATCGGCTAGAGCCGGCTGGCTTTTTTTTTTTGCTCGTTGATTCCATATTGGTGTCGGTTTTTAAAATGACATTGGTGCCGGTAATCAGTGCCGCCTTCATGGTGCTGGTTGGGAAAACCGGCATCTAAGGGGTCTTCCCATCAGGCACCGAAGTGCATTTCTCTAGTAGTGAACCACCATCCCAGTACCCCGATCTACCGCCACCCGCCGCAGGAGACATGAAGCATGATGGCTTGGATCTGCCCACTAGCGGCGGCATCGAGAGAGGTAATAGCCACCATCCAGATCTGACCTCCCCGATGGTAGATCTAGCCTTCACTCCAACAGATCTAGGGCCACAACATTGTTGTAAACAACCCAAATAGATGTTCGTTCACCACAGATCCTGAGCTCAGCCCATTGTTTGCCACCATCACCCTGCCCTTGCCGCAGTCGCCATTGTTGTCGCTAGTCCCAAGTTCTGGCCCTCGTTCGATAATGCCGACCCACCCCTTCCCCTTCACTGCTCATCCAATGCCATGTGTTTGAAGTCGCCGTCGCCAAGCCAAGGCAAGCCGTGTGGTTGCTTCTACACGAGGAGAAACGGTGGCAAGTGAAGGATAAGGAGAGCTCGTGTGTGGATCTAGTGAGAGAGAGAAGATAGGAGAGGGAGAGAATGAGTGGTTCTCGATAGAGGAGCCGTGGAGGAGAGTTTAAGACTTAGGTTGTGTTCTTCCCCCATTTTTCCCAACTCACCTCCGTCGTGTTCCGCATGTACGCTTTTCAAACCGCTAAACAATATGTATTTTGCAAAAAGTTTCTATACGAAAGTTGCTTTAAAAAATCATATTAATCTATTTTTCAAAAAAATAGTAAATACCTAATTAATCGTAAGAAAATACATCGCTCCATTTTACGTGCGCGGAAGGTGAATTCTCAACCTCACCTCCCGAACACAGCCATAGTAGCTTTTTAGTGCGGTAGCAAGTGGTCGGTTGTCAATTTTTCTAGGCGGTGCTCCTAACAGTTTGCCTACACAGATATGATTTTTGCGGACGAACCTAAGACCTGAGGGCCACCTATATAAAAATTTGATTTTTTTTGCATGCGAGCTAGCTGTAAAAGAAACACTTAATATATTTTTACAAGTATATTTTTTTAAGTCCGCCTGTAATGGTGGGTGTTGTCTAAAATGGTTTTTTATATTGTGTTACATGCGTTGATTTGGGGATTATATGATTTTTTGGTTGTGTTTTCGGTTCTTTTTCCCTTCTTGACGTATACAAGGTCTATGCTCATGAAATATTGGGTATTGAAGTGCATATGAGCTTTAAGTTGATTTGTTTAATTTGGAGAGGATCCCTTGTGTCATGGCATATGTTAGTACCGCTGCATTCAGAAGTACACATATGCCACAAATGAACAACAGCACAGCTGTTTTATACAAAAGTAGAGGGAAATTGCAACGCCATTGAAACGACTAGGCTGATTAACTCAAAACGGAAAACGGAGCGATAGATTAACGCATGATTAATTAAGTTTAAGCTATAAAAAACTTGAAAAATAAATTAATATGATTTTTTTAAGCAACTTTCCTATAAAAACTTTTTACAAAATACACACCGTTTAATGGTTTGAAAAGCGTGCGCGCAGAAAACGAGGGAGATGAATTAGGAACTCATATACATAGCCAATAGACTAGGAGCGAAGTTTCGGTTTAAAAAAGCAAAAAGAACATATTTTACAAAACTCATATCTACAAATTAAAATAGGGGAAAGAATACAATTGCCCTTATATATATATATATATATATATATATATATATATATATATATATATATATATAAAATGCAGATTTGCACTCGGATTCATATGTACCTACAATCTACACCGTTGATGTGTTCCAAGATTCGTGCTGCAAAATATACCTAACCTTAACTAAATGAATGCTTACTATAGGGAGAAAAATAATTAGGAGTAGGTTGGTTCACAATATGTATAACATGTATGTTGCATTTTAATATATATATATATATATATATATATATCCAAAAATTGATAATGTTAGCCTAGTAGATAAGTTCTCTTTTTTCCTCGTCTCCTGGGCATGCTAATGGGCCAAACCGGCCGTTTGCTCGACAAACGTAGGCAAGGGCCACGGAATTAAGAGCCTAACTGTGCTTGCTTCACCGGTTTCAAAGGAGTTGTCCTAAATGTGGCCCAATATTGATGGAACAACATAAATTCCTCTTTTTTGAGATGGATTCTAATTTCTCAAGTAGACGCCACCCGTTTATTGTATGTCAACTAAATAGTTTAAAAAAAATTCAAAAATAATAATAATATAGATTAATATGTAATATATCATTCCACAAACTTGCAAGTTTAAATTTCAACTTCTACCAATTGTAAGAAAAATAACAAATTTAACTATAAATATACGTATAATAATTTGAGTTTTGTTTGTTATTTTTCTTACAATTTGTAGAAGTTGAATTTTAACTTAAATGTTTGTGAAGTGATATATTACGCATTGATCTATCTTGTTAATTGTTTTCAAATTTTTTTCATAACCATTTAGATGACATGTAATAAATGGATGGACATCCATCCGGGTGATTAAAACAGTTCTCATCTTTTCTTTTCAACTGTAAAAGCAGTCGTCGTTCTCCTCTTCTCCCACCATCACACTTCTTCCATCACGTGAAAAATCCATGTTGCCTTAAAAAATTACCCACCCAAAAAAAAGTTTCCATGTGAAAAATCAACCTACCAGAAAAATCAATCGAACAGATAAAATAAACCCCATAAAATCATTAGTCTATATATAATCCTCCTAATCCCATTGCAAAGCACGGGCATAACACTAGTTGCTATTGAAAAATTCATACCAAAAACACCAAAACTAATCACATATCTCTCCTACTTTGAAGCAGAGTCGTCATCCTCTCCTCACCTCACCGTCGTACCTCCTCCGCACGTAAAAAGAACAATGTTGCCTTAAAAAACCACCCCACGCCATGAAAAAGGTGTTTCCATGAAAAAAAATCAACCCACAAGAGAAAATTTATAAAAATAGAGATAAAATTCAACCGATAAAGCCATTCATACGTATATATTCCTCCCACTCCCGGTGCAATGCACGGGCGTAGAACTAGACTAGATAAATCTTGGAATGGGTTTATTTTTTGCCTAATGAAGGAGATAGAAATGTAGATGAGCTAGGGCGAAATAATGGCAAAGATCCATGTGAAATGAGCATATTTTGGTTCTGGAATTGTCTATACTTCTTGCGCCACAAATTAATTCAAGATCAAAACTGTCAATTAATTTTCAGACCGAACGATTAAAAAAGGATGACTAAGATTACAACCAAATCGAAAACACATTGAATTAGGCCCTGATTGACACGACCCTAGATGATTTAAAGTTTGTATAGTAACTTATAGTATTTTAAAATTTTATATTTCATCTAAAATAGAAACAATATGATTTATCTAAATTTTATCGACGAAATCATATATCCAGATATATGTATTTGTAGAGCAAGTAATATTTATATCTACAAAATCTTTAATCCGGAGTTGTACCAATTAAACAGCGCCTCAATACTTCTTGGGCCAATTCCCTACGTGCCCATGTAATTTCACCCAATCCCTTCTACGTCCCTGAAATTTGTTTGATCTTTTATATGCCCCTGAGTTTTTATTTGGATCCCTTACATATCCATTCCGTTAGTTGATCATTAGTTTGACCGTTAGTTATTGTAAAAATTACTTTGTTGTCCTTGGTATATTGTTGAAAGCTAGAAATGTTTTATGTGTAAATTATTTGAGTTGTGAAAACCAATAAGGAATAAATTACTAAATATTTGTTATGAACTTTTTAAAAATAAAAAATTATTTCATTAAAATAAAAAAGATTTATTGTAAAAAAAGTTCTGCATAAAATTTGAAAATTACTTTTCAACAAATATTTAGTGAAAAAAGATTTGTTGTGAAAAAACAAAGGGGATGTAATTAGTTTATCACAAATTAGAAAACAAATTTAAAATTTAAACCTAAATAACATTTAGTTTTTGCTCTTAATTTTCTGGTGAAACTAATGTATGGATTTAATCATAATTTTTAAAAAAATAAAAAATAATAAGTTTTATTTTTTATGTTGGGCATTAAATGATTATATTGCTTGTATTTTGTATAAGTTAATTTTTTCATATGAAAATTTATTGGGTAGGTACCACATATGTATAGGATGGGTAATATAGTTATTTTAAAATATTTAACAGTCAACTAATGGTCAACTAACGGAGATGGGTATAGAGGAGATCAAAATGAAAACTCAGTGATATATAAGGGATGATGTCAAATTCAGGGGTATTGAAGGGATTAAGTAAATTTTCAAGAGTATATAGGGAATTTTCTCATACTTCTTTTACACGTCTAAAGACGTGGACCGATAAACCAGCCACAACAGTACAACACCATGCATATACCTATATCCTACTCCCTCTATCCCATATTAACGTAAGAGATTTTGGAGAGATATGGTATATTTTATTACTACGAATTTGGACAGGTCCTTTTAAAATCCCATACATATATTATAGGAAGGAAGGAGTATTGTAGACATATTTGATATCATAATTGTTTATATTTTGTAATTCAGAGGAATCATATTGTTTCGATTCGATTAATTAGCTGTATGTATGGAAAAGACCGTATATATAGTATCATAATATGTGGATTTGATCATCAGCAGAATCCAGAAACACACCCGTAGTAACCACTACTGGAGAAACGATGTTTGGTCGGTCGGCCAAATTTCACAATAGTCCCGGTTCACTTATAAACCGGGACTAAAGATTCCCAGTTGGTAACACCAACCGGGACTAAAGATTAGAACTTTAGTCCCGGTTGATGTTACCAATCGGGACTAAAGATCAAGTTGATCTTTATACCCGATTGTTAACACCAACCGGGACTAAAGTTAGCACGCCATATATGTTCTTCTTCCTTCTCCAGCCTGAGCATGGCTTCATTTTTTGAAGAGGAGGAGGGGAGGTGCTGTCTGATTTTTTGTGAATTTGGTTTGGTGATAATACATAACTTTGAGGTGTCTAAAAGGTTAACAACTTCATTCTCCTCTATTTTTTCTTAGCATTTATATTTAAAGATAAGTTCTATTCATTTTTGCCACTAAAAAGTATGAATGGAAGATGATGAGTTTGAGAGAGTTTGTGTAGGAAAGTAGTATAGAAAGTAGGTTTTTTTATAATTTTATAACAACTTGTGATAAAAGAGATGAGAAATAAAAGATAGAAAATTAATCTAAAAGAATAGAAAACTTAGTTAATTTAAAATTAATATTAGTTCAACACATTAAATATTTGTTTGCAACTTTAAATGTAATTAAAACTTGCATAATATGTGGTGTTATTTGGTAATTATTGTATGAATAAATTTATATAAATATTGCATAAATGTTTAATTGGTTTGACTATCGTGGAATATTTTTCATGTTTTTTTGTTCATTTTATTTAGATGGATCGGCAATGGATGCGCACGGACCGACGGTCAAAAGAGTATATTGAAAGCGTGCATTATTTTTTGAGAATGGCCAAGGCTAACAAACAGAATAATTTATCCGTTGTCCATGCATTAAGTGCAAAACCAGAGGGAGTATTCTGCAATAAGAATTATTCATATTCACTTGTTTGGGACGGGCTTCATGCCGAGCGCTTGGACCTCACACCGGGAGCTAGGGGTTCAAATGGAAGAAGATAAAGCAGAAAACGAGAACATTCCGGACTGAGCTCAGTACGGTGGATTTGAAGTAAATACAGCAGGCGAGGTGGACGGGGCTGTTGAAGATAATGACGCTGCAGATGATCTTGGTCAGATGTTGCAGGATGTCAAGGAGGACTGTGAAAGTGAAAAGGAGGCCCAGAAATTAGAGCGTATGTTAGCGGACCATTGGACGCCGTTGTACCCAGGTTGCAAGCAGGGGCACAAAAAAAATTGGGTACCACTCTAGAATTCTTGCAATGGAAGGTAAAAAATGGTGTGAGTGATAAGGCATTTGGCGACTTATTGAAACTAGTAAAGAACATTCTTCCGGAAGAAAACAAGTTACCCGAAACAACGTACGAAGCTAAGAAGATAGTCTACCCTCTAGAACTAGAGGTTCAGAAGATACACGCATGTCCGAACGATTGTATTCTCTATCGCGGTGAGTACTATGAGAACCTAGAAGCTTGCCCGGTTTGTAAAGCACTACGATACAAGATCAGGCGAGATGATCCAGGTGAAGTTGATGGACACCCTTCGAAGAAGAGAATTCCTACTAAGGTGATGTGGTATTTCCCTATAATACCACGGCTCTGATGTTTGTTCAGGAACAAAGAGCATGCAAAAATGATGCGATGGCACGCAGAAGAACGTCGACAAGACGGGATGCTGAGACACCCCGCCGACAGGTCGCAATGCTGAAATATCAACAGAACATTTCAAGACATTAGAGAGGATGCACGAAACGTAAGGTTCGGTTTGAGTACGGATGGCATGAATCCATTTGGAGAGATGAGCAGCGGCCATAGCACTTGGCCTGTTACGATGTGTATCTACAAGACTACAACCTCCCCCTGACTGTGCATGAAGAGGAAGTACATTATGATGCCGATTATTATTCAAAGCCCAAAGCAACCTGGTAACGATATTGATATATAACTAAGACCACTCATCGATGATCTGAAAGTTTGTGGGAGAAAGGAATCACTGTGTGGGACGAGAACAAACATGAGCAATTTAACTTACGAGCCATGCTGTTTGTATCCATCAACGATTTGCCTGCACTTAGCAATCTTGTTTAATGTGTTGACACACCCGTAGTGACGACAATTCTGATGCATATATATTTCAATTAGCAACTACCAATAGTCCATGTGATGTGTGCCACTTAATAAAGAACAGCAACAAGTTGATGCAAATGAATTTTTACTCGATGACACCGCATCAAACACAAATTAATCCATCACACCCACTACTAATCTACCAACTCATATGCACTTAAACATACATGAACTTACTTGTATACATGCACATGACGACCTAGCTAGCTAGCTACTTGGATCAGAATCTCCAATAAAACAAACTGAGGTGTATAGGAGAATCCATGCATTGCCCAAAAAACAAAAAACAAAAAGGCAAAGACAACAACATTTTATTTATTTTTAATTATGTACAGCTAACACTGATAGTACTTTGAATCACATGGCACATGCATGCAAAGGTGACGGCGAGTTCATTACTCCCACGGCGGGCGACGCCGGCGCGCCACCGACGCCGACGCCGGCAGCCGACCTCTTCAAGAACTCGATGCACTCGTCGACCGCCTCGCTCCGGTATGAGTCGGCGTACGCCGGCGCCGCCGGGCTCATCCGCACCGCCGCGGAGCGTCTCGACGTCGCCGCTGCCGACCTGCCCGGCGACGTCCTGATCGGCGTCGCCGTCTGCTGCTGCGGCGGCAGGGCGCCCTGCTTCGTCGTCGTCGACGCGGCCGACAGCATCGCCAGCCTCAGCACGACGTCCCGGACACGGTCCAGCACGGACGACGACACCGGCGGCGCCGCGCCGCCGCCGGAGGAAGCAGCGCGGCGATGCCGCCTCGCGCCGCCACCGCCGCCGCCGCGCAGCCTTGGGATGCATGTCACCGTGGTCGCCTTGAGCGGCTCGGCCAAGAACCTCTCCTCCATTGATTTGCTCGAGCTTGAGCTCTCTCTCCTGCTAATTACAAGATGGCTTGCTCTCTGTCTAATTAGCTTGTGATGGCTGCTGTCTCACTGAAGCAACTAATTAGGTTGATTTGGTGGTGTTTATATACAAACAAGAGGCAGAGAGCAATTTGGTGATCTTGATTCTTCTTCTTTGTCTACTACTGGTCAGCACTGGATTTTTCTATGACAAAATGTTGATTCCTTTTGAACAAAAAGAAAAGGAAAACATATTCTAGCATATATGTTTGCTGATTCACATGCTGACATGCTCCATGTTGCATCCAGAGTTAGAGCTATCCTTATTACAGGGAAGACCAGCAATGTGACACCTAGTCAAATTTGTCTCATTTGTCACAGATACAGAAAAAGTGCTCACTCTATCCGCACGTATATAATAAAAGTTCAGGTATTCTAATTTCGGTTCGAAATTTCTAAAATTTCAGTAATTTCTCGCTTCTCTCCAGGAAGTAAATTTCTCGCCCAAATTTTTTATTTTTAAAAAAATTGGTCAAAATTTGTTAAGTTTTCAAATAATTTTGGACAAAAAAGTTCTAAGTTATACAAAAATTTTGGAAATCCCGGCAACGTTCGTTTTAAGAAAATATTGTGCCCCGGAAATTTTGAACCTAGAGTAAGTTAGTGTGTGTAAGAATATAATGATTTTCACATAATATTGCATCATATTATCTAGGCAGTTTATGTAGCAACGAACAGAGAAAATAGGAACTCAACGTACTAACAAACAGAGTATGTGCATGATTATCCTATATTCCTATCCTCCCTCTAGGTTTATGATACTTATCATTTTGATAAGAACATAGTCTAAAAAAAATTTAACGAACTTGCACCAAACAGTGCGAAGTCGATCATATTATTAGAATAGGAAAAAAATTACAAGATTACAAACCCTGTAATGTCGTAAATAGGAAAACGAAGAAAAAATAACCCCACCCACACACCGGCAGCTCCAACACACAGATCTAGAAGAAGGCTAGCACCGACAGCTCCAACATACACATAGTCTAAAAAAATAACTTTAAGCACTATTTTCTATTATAATACACAATAAAAATATCAGTAGATATATGATTTTAACAAAGTACTCCATCTATACCAAAATATAATAACTTTTAGTTATGAATATGGATAAGTATTTCTCAATATGTATAGCTAAGTTACTATATTTTAGGACATATATAGTATTTTTTAAAAAAACTAATCCATACATATGGTCTCGATATTTCTATGATTATTTATAGTCAAATATTTTAAAGTTTGACTTTTACTTTGTTATTGAAAAAAAGTATTATTTTGATATTTCCTAGAAAATTAAGCACGTCATTTGAGTTTAGATACAAATATTGTAACAAGTGACAAGCAAGCGAGAACACTTTAATTTTCCATATTAACTTTCCACATGGAAACAAGCAAAGGGCATTTTCCCACATGCCTACATAGATTATGGTTAGCCGGTGCCTTTCTAGAAGATTTGATGCATATATACAACCGATAGGTCACGTATATATATATACCCTACAAGTATATACTCCCTCCGTTTTAAAATGTTTTGACGCCGTTGACTTTTTATCACATGTTTGACCGTTCGTCTTATTCAAAAAAAATTTAGTAATTATTAATTATTTTCCTATCATTTGATTCATTGTTAAATATATTTTTATGTAGACATATAATTTTACATATCTCACAAAAGTTTTTGAATAAGACGAACGGTCAAACAATGTTAAAAAGTCAACGGTGTCAAACATTTTGAAACGGAGGGAGTATATACACTAGTGTGCAATTTGTTTTGTTTTGAATGCAAGATCATACACCCAGCCATGTGGTACAAGAGGGCGAAATCAGTGAGCAACCACTGCCCTATTTGGAGGATTTGATTCCACATCTTAATTTGACCCCCAATTATAAGGCCGACCACCCAATTAATTAAGCATAGTTAAGGTCAGGCTCTAAGTAAACATATGCAGATAAAAACAGACTATAGCTTAGTTATACGTATGTAGCTGGTAGCTGAATATAGATTGTCCAAATCTAGAATATACTCAAAACAAATTGGGAAGGATATTGCAAGATCGTAACATCTACAATTGCATCAAGGCATCTCACCAAAAGACAACGAAAACGAGTCATGGTGGATGCATGAGGAGGCCTAATTGGTGTTGGCCTTAGATGTGAGAGAATCAATTTGCGTTGTGATACATCATGTGGTTATTAACAAACATTTTTACATTGTATTCTTGCAACATCAACAAATAATAACGTTGTGTTCCGTTGATAATGTGTTATAGAGTAGTAATTAAATTTGTATTGAGGATAAATTATGATTAGTTGAGAAAATGAGATAGGTGGGAAAACTAAAAAGTGATAAAATTAATTGAAAGGTTATGATTAACTCAGAAGAGAATACATATGCAGAAGTTGTTATCATTTATGAGTTATGACGAATTTTGAACGCTAGAATTTATTATATTTTAGGTTGGAGGAGATATATGATTTTCATTGGATTGTAAATTTATATAAATTTTTTCTATCTGGCCCCTTAAAGCAAAAGATTGGATATAGTCGAATCCTTTAGCCTCAATCTATGAGAGGAATTTATCATGAGATTTCTTATAAAATTTTCCTTGCGGTCTATCTAAACGGTCATTCATTCATATTTTCCTATGTTTTGTCATCCCATTTCTTACCTATATATCCCTGTCAATATCTTTTGTTCATACCCATATCCTACAAGCCATATCTGGGCTCAATTCCACCACTATTAGTACTGTAGGCTATTTGGGTTTGTCAACTATGGTATACTCCCTCCCACCCAAAATAAATCAACTCCTATAGAGTTTAAAATTTGTCCCAAAATAAATCAACTTCTACCTTCTTACCTACCACAAATTCACAAATCGAGAAATTTTATTACTTCAATACCCCTCACCTACCTACTAATCAATATAACTTTTACATTTATTAAGGGTATTATGGTCTTTTATCTCTTTCCTTAATTTTTTCTTGGGATGCTAGGGTTTAGTTTATTTGGGGACAGAGGGAGTACGTAATATGGAATAAGTTCATTTTGACTCTCTCAACAAGTGACCAAATCTGATTCGTATCTCTCAACCACAATACCAGATATCTCGACCCCTCAACTATTAAAACCAGTGCACTTTGACTCTCTCGGCGGTTTTGGAGGGCGGTTTCGCTGATGTGGCGCACACGTGGCGGTGTTGACCTAGTCTCTGGCCCATGTGGCATTGACGTGGCGTTTATGTGGCATTAAAATTTAAAAAATATATGTGGGACCAATTCGTCATTCAAAAAAAATTGTGGAGCCCACATATCATCCTCTCTCTCCTACCCTTCTACTTCCTCCTCTCTCTCTCTTATTTCTCTATCTTTCTCTCCCCTTTACTTCACTCCATCCGCGCGGGGGCTCGAGTGGCGGCGACGGCGGTGGGTAGTGGACGGTGGCCGGCGGGTGGGCAGGGGCTCAAGTGGTGGCGACGGTAGTGGGCGGTAGCCGGCGGGGAGAGGAGCCAGGCAGCGATGCATGGCGTTCAGGCGTCGTTTCTCTATCTGCATCGCCTCCTCTTCCACCTTCGATATGGCGCTGTGGCAAGTGAATCCGAGGCGAACGAGAGGGAGAGGCGGTCGACCAATGGCGGCGACGTCGAGCAGCGCGGACGCTGGGGTCTACACCGGCAGTTGCAGCGGCACGACTGCGAGTAGCCATGGAGAGTTGTTTGGCCCTCGCTAGCCTACCGTTGCCGCCACTCCAACCCCACCCTCCCGCCCACCACCGACGTCTTGGTGGCCCTCACCCGCCTGCGCTCCCATCCGCTACCGCCACCATCGTGGCCCTCGCTCGACTGCCTACGTTGCTGCTCTAGCACCCACCAACCCGCCGGCCACCGTCCACTGCCCACCACTGCCACCGCCACTCAAGCCCCGCGCGGATGGAGTAAAGTAAAGGGGAGAGAAAGAGAGAGAAATAGGAGAGAGAAGAGGAGGAAGAAGAAGGGCAGGAGAGAGAGGATGATATGTGGGCCTCACATTTTGTCGGTCCCACGAATTTTGGTGTGAATGACGAATGGGTCCCGCATATTTTTTTTAATTTTAATGCCACATAAGCGTCGCGTCAATGCCACGTGAGACGGAGACTAGGTCAACACCGGCACGTCAGCGAAACCGTCCTCCAAAACCGCGGAGGGAGTCAATTTGCACCGGTTTTAATAGTTGAGGGGTCGAGATATCTGGTATTATGGTTGAGGGATACGAATCAGATTAGGTCACTTGTTAAGGGAGTCAAAGTGAACTTATACCATGTAGTATATGGTGCCTGGCCATACAAATCACTTGGCCAAATTAAGGCCTTACTCAGAAGGAATAAGTTCACATACCATCCTTCGACTTTACATTGAATTTGTTTGACATCCCTTGTCCTCAATACCAGAAATCTTCACCCTTAAACTATACAAAACCGTGCTATTAAGGTCCATAGCAGTATAGATGCATGGTTTTGCTAATGTGACATTCTAGTCAGAAAAAAAAGTATGTGGGATCCAAATGTGAGAGAGAAAATAATGTGGGCCCCACATCTCTTTTTTTATTCTCTCTTAGGCGCTCGGCCTCTCACCCTCCTCGCCAGTGGCAGATGGGGGAGAGGCGGCCGACAAGCCTTGCTGAGCTCCGCCACCTCGAGAGGCTCCGCCGTCGCCACCCCCGCCACCGCACCCAACGACGACGACGACGCACATGCTCTAGTGCGATGCCCATATTCGCCGCCACCTCCGCACCCGATGGCGACGACCTCTCGTCCTCCTCGCTGCCGCATGGATCCTGCCACGGCCTAGGGAAGGTTGTGCCAAATATGGCGCCGATGGTTTCCTTAGAGCCAGCTTCTCTCCCAAACGTCTAGAAAAATATGACTTCATAAATATAGCTAGTCACATCTTAATTAGTCTTGTTCAGACCAACGTCTCGACTGAGCTGATATCTTACACGTAAAATGAGATATGTCATTAGCGAGTGATTAATTAAATATTAGCCATTATAAATTTAAAAATACATTTATTTTTAGAGACTTTTATACATAAAGTTTTTGCAAGAAATATATAATTGAGTGGTAGAAGCATCTATTAGATTAATCCTAAAAGCTCACAATTAATTAAGATATATATGTGTGCGCTACGAGTGGAGTCATATGAGCCTAGCAAGGGTCAGCAAAAGCTTTGTTCAATGTAATGCCACGTTTGGGCAGAAGCAACGGATCGAGTGCACTACACACCAAATTAATATCTGCAAGAGCTACTAATTATATGTGCGTTCGTTCATCACTGTTTAGTGTGGACCAGCCTCCATCTCATATTTTCAATTAAACTTTTTTTTCTTTTGAGAGAGTGGGAGACAGCCTAGAAATCGCAAGATTTATGGTAATTAATCTAAGTTAGCTCATCCTTGATCCTAAATAATCATGTGTTTTAATTAAATCTATGGTCATTAGACCAAATGATCAAGGCTGGCACATAAAAAATATATATGGATTTGTAAGACAGAAAATCAATGTGTGATCATCCATGCACAAAGTGATTAATGTTTGTGGTAATTAATTTTCTTACATGTTTTGTTGCTTCACTAATTAATGCACAACCGAAAGTGAGTGGTAGAAGCATCTATTGTTCCTAATAATGTGCTCGATCATTTCCTGAGTTAACTGAAAAGGCATGAATTATATACAGGTAAAGATTCACACTAGTTTACTAACCACGACTATTTTTCTTATGCAGATATAAGCTAAGCTAAACATCTGTCGCGTAGCAAAATTTAACAATAACAACCAGGATTACAGAACATTATCCAGGACTAAAGTCACTTCGCTACATCCAAGCGCAACTTGCGCGCGCCTTTATAGCTAATAAACTGGAGTAATTGACATTGGCAGTAGTATTTTTCTTTTACATGTTTGTTTACTTCATCTTCATGTTAGATGTTTCCAAAGATCCCAGCAAGCAGTGCACCATCTATGATGCAATTAGCAGTGATTATGTACTTTCTTAACAAAAAAAAGAGATTAACCAACACTAATTTATAACTTTTACTATTTAGTACTACCTCTGTTTTTTAATAGATGACGCCGTCGACTTTTTCTCACATGTTTGACTATTCGTCTTATTCAAAAATTTTATGCAAATGTATAAGATATAAATCACACTTAAAGTACTATGAGTGATAAAACAACTCATAACAAAATAAATTATAATTACATAAATTTTTTGAATAAGACGAATGGTCAAACATGTAAAAAAAAGTCAACAGCGTCATCTATTAAAAATATGAAGGTAGTAATAATTTTCCTATGTACCTAGCAGTTGCATTACTATCCACTTACTAGCCTACGCACCTAATTAGTTTATCTTATTATGTGTATAGGCGTATATATTGCTCATGCCCATATTATTTCTGTGTGGGACCTGTGTTTTACGGCTAAATGTAAAAAAAAAAAATCTCAAAACTGTATTCACAATAGATCCTTATACATATAGTTAGTTGCTCTGAATAAGTCTTATATAATATCTTTAGATAATCACATACTGAAATTTATGATTACCAGGTCATAATTACTACTTAAAACCCAACCAAACCTTTCGCCCTCCCTCTATGCAAAAATATTGAAGGACATCTTAATTACAAAAGAAATTAGGGGCCCTTAAGTTATGATTAGTGCACATGGATCCTTGTACCTTTCAAGCCTTAGAATTTCCAAAAGGCATCCCCATCCCCACCAAAATTCTTGTGAAAGCATGCTGGCCCAGCACCCCATCAACAATATTAGCATTACACTAATTAAGCTGCTAATTAATTAACAACCATATGTATAAATTAAGCACCAGTTAGGCACTTATACATAGGACCATCAGTGAGCACACACTTGCAGAAGTAGTACATGTATAACTTGCAACAGAAATTAGATTTGCAAGCTGATCATCAGAGTGATCACCACAAATTAGGCCACACCATCATCAATAATTAGCAGGCAAGTGTAGATCATAGCTAGTAGCTATAGGTAGCATCAAGGAAGGAATTAAGGAAGGAGAATCATTCATGTCTAGGCTTCAAGCAAAGAGCTTTAGGAGGAAAGCATCGCATTCTCATCACAGCAAGGCCAAGATGAGGTGGCCGTCCAGGATCATGGACGGATTCCGGAAGATGCTCGTCGGCCTCTTCTCCTTCCCGCCGCGGCCGCCGACGGTCACCTTCTCCTCCTCCTCCGTCGACGACAACCACCACCACCACCACCGTGGAGGCGGCGGCGGCGACGCGCCGAAGCGGTCGTGCAGCTCGAACCTGCACCCGCTGAACCCGCACTACGACGAGGCCATCGCCGACTGCGTCGAGTTCTTCAACAAGTCGGCGGCGCCGGCGACCTGCAGCGTCGTCGTCGACGTCCGGTCGCGGCCGCAGTTTTGATCGGTCGATCGCCTCGCCTCGAATGGCATACATGTCGTCCATCTCGTCGTCGTCAATCTTTGTTGGATTATGAGTTAATCGCAATCGCATACCTAGTTAATTATAATCATATATATATGTCGATCAATTAACGCTCCACTACGCGTTCTCTTGATTGATCGGTGCATCTAATCGCATGTACGTGTACAAAAAGTTACGAAGTACTCCCTTTTATAAGATGTTTTGACTTTGGTTAAAATTAAAATGTATTAAGTTTGACTAAGTTTATAGATAAATATAGTAATATTTATAATAACAAATTAGTTTAATTAAATTAATAATTGAATATATTTTTATAATAAATTTTTCTTGGGTTGAAATTATTATTATTATTTTCTACAAATTTAGTTAAATTTGAAGCAGTTTGATTTTAATCAAAGTTAAAAACATCTGATAACCTGAAACGGAGGGAGTACAAACAAATTATATCCATTGTATATTACAGCTCAAGTTTATTTATTAATGATCCAAAATAAGCAAGCATCATGGTGTACGTACGTGTACGCTCGCACACATACGAGGGAGTAGTATACTATACTCGTATATAAATACCGTATATGTATTTTGTACTTCAATATATCCGACGGTGGAGAAGCGTCCGATGCAACAATCGGACGGGTAGGATCAAAAGGAGGTGCGCGGGTTGAGCGCCGAGTCGTCGTTGTGGCAGCTGCAGCTGCTGCTCTTCTTCTTCCTCATGAACAATGCTCCAACCAGAGGAATCAACGATTTCTTCTTCTTTCTCCCCTCTTGATCGACCGCTGCCACCGCCGCCGCCTTCATCATGCCATGGCTGGCCGACATCTGCCTCATGAACCGCACCTCGCGGAGCTGCGGCGGCGAGGGTGTGCTGCTGTGGTTGTGACGATGGCGCAGCTCGATCACCACGTCCGGCAATGGCGCCTGCGGTGGCGCGCGGTCGTACGCTGATGCCATCGGCGGCGGCGGGTCGGCGAACGTCACGTACCTCCTCTTCTGGAACTCGCCGGGGGACGGCGACTGCTGGCGCGGCTGTGGCTTGTCGTCGTCGATCTCGACGAACTTGAGGTCCTCCACCTGCAGGTCGATCACCTTGGCGGCCGCCTCGCCACCGTCGCCGTCGCCGACGTCGTCGCGTGCCTTGATCTTGTTGAGCTCGCTCATGGCGTTGCTGAGCTCCTCCTGCAGGGAGAGGATGCAGCCGGCCATCTTCTGCTTCTCGGACCGCTCCTTCTCCAGCTCCTGCCTCGCCTCCTCCAGCTCCGCCGGCACGTGGCGGGTCACGGCGACGACCCCGCCGGAGACTTGCTGTTGGCTAAATGTTGGCCATATTGCCGGCGGCGTTGTGGCGGCACGATTCTGTCGGATCAAGATATATATATATATATACACACATTGTTTGACAGTATTTTGTAGATCTCTAAGATATATTCGCGCATATTACATAATGGTTAATTGCCATTTGCAAGGAATTAACAAGCTAGCTAGCTAGCAATGCTTATGGTCTAAGGAAGCTTAATTAAAACATTACGTAACTATTTATCGCTTTGCTGTGATTTATTTTAATTTATTAAAGTTACATTAATCATGACTTATATTTCTCCATATTTACTCAAATGATTGAATAAAACGAATGATAAAAGTAAGTTTTTTTTCTCTGTACATTGGCGAAAGTAAGGCTGTGCTTTCCTTTCTGTCACATTTTTTTCTTGGCTCGGAAGAAAGGAATAACATCATAAAGCATCTTGACAACTAAGCATGTCTTAATATTAAATCCATAACGTAACTTGTTCGACGGCGTAACCAAGTTCAAGTTTTCGTTGCGGCAAATTTGGATGTTTTTCTTCTTAATTAAATACAAGGATAGGATTTTTTTACCATTCTTTTAATTTCTTGATGAAGGAAACATATATCAGTTACCATTAATCGGAGGCGATGTAGTCCAGGTCCATGAACATCACCATCACCGGCGAGCAGAGGCGTCTCCTTCTCGCCGAAGAGGACGACGGCCTCCTTCACCGACCGGAACGGCGCCCTCATGTCGATCTCCGCCCGCCCAACCACCGTCACGCCATCGCCGCCGCCGCCGCCGCCATTGCCCCCCATTTCTAGCTGTCTTTCGATCTGAGATAGATCTATCTAGCTTAGCATATCAAATGGAAGCTAAGTATATATATATACTTAATTACATACTGCATGTGGTGGTGTGGGGTTCGTTTCTTCGCGTCCACTTCACTGAAATATTCGCGCCATGCATATGCTTATTTATGTGCAAGAAGCAATGCATATTCATTCTCTCGAATTCATCTCGATCGATCTTGCAGCAGGTATGAACGGTCCAGATCATTCCACTGTACGTCGACCGACGACATGATTTACCCACTGATATGTGGGTCCTAGATGCTTACTCAGCTGATTGGACTAAGCCAGCGAGCCTCGTCAGCGAATAGTTGGGAGTCAAGATATATAGTATTACGAATATGAATAAGATTGGACATTCATTGAGGGAGCCAAAAGTGGACTTTATTTTTAAAATCCTTCCTCCGTCTTAGCTGGGCCAACACACCAGGCAGACCTGGCCTGCTCACAGCCCCAAAACAAGGCCGGCCCACCTTACCAAGTCGGTCTACAAACCAGCCCGGGTAACGCTAATAGGCGCGTACGCGCTGGGAAGCAAAGTCGCGCAGACGCGCACTTGCTTGCTCCTAGTCCCCACGCGACTCACTCTCCCCGCACGGGACGCACCTTCCGAGCCTGCCGTTAATAGCCTAATATTTGTGTTAGTGCTAATCTTTAGCGGTTTACACTAATTAATTTTTTAATAAAATGATAAATAAAATAGTTGGGTTGAAAATTTTAAAATACGAATTGAAAGTTTAAAAGTTTAGTTGAAAGTTTTCGAATTTGAGTTGAAAGTTTTCAAATCTTGACTGAGTTTTCAAATTTAAATCAAAAGTTTTTAAATTTGAGTTGAAAGTTTTCAAATTTAAATTGTAAGTTTTAAATTAGAGTTGAAAGTTTTAAATTTTCAGTAGAAAGTTCATTCGAATTTCAATTTTTTTCATACACTGTGTATATAAATGATATGAAGCTAATCACGTGAAAGATAGAAAAGAGAAAGAGAAAAAACAAGTCAGACGTACTTTGCTTCTGACTGATCCGTTCCTGTGGGCTGCCGTGGGCTTAGCCCCATGCGCTGATAAAAAGCATCTCGTGCATACGCGGATAAGGATGTGGACCGCGCGTGAGGCTTGGGCCAGAAACGCGCGTAACTTGTAGTGATGGCGTGTGCGCACCGATTAGCAATTTCGGCTTGCCCCTTCGACCCACCCACCTATAATTTTCTTATACAAAATTACCTACATGTTATTTGCAATTTTGTAAAATATTCGTCTATAGTTGCAGCAAATTACAGTTAGTAAGCTTTTGTCTAGGGATTAATCCTTTTACACCGGGAGGGGAAACGGGACACGACGCTGGTGAGCCCGTGAGGATCGCTAATTAGCGCTACCGTACCGTAAATCGTTCTCGCTCCGGCCCAAAATATTTAACACTGTTGACTTTTTTTAAAAAAATATTTAACAATTCGTCTTATTAAAAAAAATTTAAGTAATTATTAATTTTTTTCCTATCATTTGATTTATTATTAAATATACTTTTATTTATACATATAGTTTTACATATTTTAAAAAAAAAATTTAAATAAGACGAACGGTCAAACTTGTTTAAAAAAGTCAACGGCGTCAAACATTTAGGGAAGGAGGGAGTACTTATTTATATTTACCATATACTAATATTAGTTTTTCTATTTTATTTTAATGGGACACGTAATTTTTTCTATTACGGTTAAGATAACTCCCCTAGGATCACTATAAAAAATAGTTTTCGCTATAGGCTAAAATGGGTTTTTGTCGACAGCTAGAGGTGCCGCTGACAACTAAAGGCCGGCAAAAATAATGTGTTTTCACTTGCCGTCAACGAAAATCGAGTTTCTCAAGCGACTATGCTAAGACAATGTGTTACCGGCGAGATAAAGTGGATCACCGATAAAACAATTTTGGGATAAAAAATTTCAAAATTGGTGCCACCGGCCACGACAGCCGCAAGCACTGCCAGTTTCCATCGCAACATCTCACCATGGCCGCCGCCTGCTGAAGCCCACGCCGCGGTCGCCAGGCAGTAGAGGGGAGGGGGTTGGAGTAGCACGGCTGTCATCGTCGTCATGGCAGCCGCCACCGGATCCACTACCTTCACTGTTGTGGAGGACCGCCTGAGCACCGCCGCTGCCGCCGGATCCGTGTCCACCCTCCCACCACCATTGTTGCCCTCCTCGCTGGCCTCCCCCGTCATCGCGGTGGCGGACCCAGCCTCCCCCATCGTCGTGGCGGTGGATCCATCCACCCCCGTCGTCGCGGCCGACGGATCCGGCCCCAAGCTCACGGCGGCCAGCGGCGAAGAGGAGGAGGTCACGCCCTGCCGCCGCAGAGAAGACCGTGCAACAACTGGTGGGAGGCTAGGGGAGAGGGAGAGGAGGCGTAGGGCAGAGAGGAGGAGAGCTGTCGCCACTCGCCGGCTGACCGTCACCGCACCAGCCCTGGAGCGCCGCTGCTCGCTGAGAGGAGGAGGAGAGGGAGAAGGGAGGAGGCGGAGAGGAGAGGGAGTTGCTGCCAGTAGAGGAGGCGGAGAGGATAGAGAGGATCAGAGGAGGAGGAGGCCGCCGGTGTATCTGGAGGAAGGGGAGTAGGAGGAGATAGAGTTGGCGGAGATAAAGATGGAGTCCACGGCCGTGTCTGTCATTTTAATATAGTGAAAGAATTTTTGTAGTCGGTGGTCCTTAACAGCCTATTTTAATTGACGCTCACTTAAGTGGTCTGATTGTAATTTTCGCTGACAGCTGGTAACCGAAATCCTCTCAAATACTTTTACAAGCGTATTTTCATCAAATCCGCCAGTAAAATTAAAAGGGTACCACTATGAAAAATGGTTTTTCAAGAGGTGGATTAACTGCTGCACTCAACGAAAAAGAGGTGTGGTCACCACAATTAAATACGTAGGTGAGGTCCTAGAATTAACTACTACCACAATATAATGCCTGATCGAGAAGGTTTTAAATATATAGATAGATATATATAACTATATATGCGAACGAGATATCCCAGAATTAATTTCTGACCTCGACAAAACGCAATTGGTCCAACATTCTGTGTGATCCAGCTTCTTGCAACTGATGATCCGCCGGATCTTTTAGCCGAACTAATCTCCCTAATTAACTCAATTACTACTAGACACTGATTTGATCGTTCACACGTACTGTTAGTTATCTTCTTGTAAACTACTCCTTCAGGTCAAAAATAATTATCGTTTTTGATAAGATAGATATATCAAACTTTAAAAATTTTTTACTACGAGTAACTTGTAAATCTATATTTTATTTTATTTTATTTTAATATGAACACCATATGTATAGGTTATCTTAAAATGTACTTCGATTTTATTGCTACTTATAATATACATATATATAGGGTGTGTTTAGTTCACGCCAAAATTGAAAGTTTGATTGAAATTGGAACGGTGTGACGGAAAAGTTGGAAGTTTATGTGTGTAGAAAAATTTTGATGTGATAGGAAAGTTTAAAGTTTAAAGAAAAAGTTAGGAACTAAATCACGCCATATTATAACAGAAAATAATGGTCAACTTTTTTTAAGACTATGTTAATGTCCAGAATTATAATTATTTAATTTGCAACATGGAGGGATTAGTAGGCATATGATTGATAGGCCCAACATATATGCAACACCATAAAAAAATTTGTAGTGAGACTGGAGACCAATTAAATTTAATTTATTGTCACAGAGGAAAAATATCAAGACATTAACCAAGACCTTTCGAGACTCGGGGACATGACACCCTAAGTATGGTAGGTCCTTTTATATTACACGGGAGACGCATATACGTGTACACTACATAGATCAGTGATTTTATATCCTCTGTACAGATGTGCAAGGCAAATATTTTTCATACTATTGCAATTAGCAACTAATTATGGTTTAACTTAATTGTATAAACGTAATCAACGTGTACAAGAGCTTTGACGCTAAATTTGAGACGAGGAAATAATTAGGGAGCAGCAGAATTTCGAAAATAAATTAATTGACGCAGATACCTTAAAAGGAACGCACAGGACATTGAGCATGTCAAGAAAATGACAGATGAAACAAATGGATTCCTTTGTTGTTATAAAATTAATGACGGTACAACATTGTCTTAAGCATTTATGACGAAAAGTCATTTTCTTGTTAAATGTGATTAGAGACGCATAGGTAGGTGACCAATACATTTTGGTCATAAGATTGCCAGAAAATCCATACCATGCATGAGAAATATTTACTAAACAGTTAGAAAAAAAAGTTTTGTGATGGAATAGTAGATCTCTCCCTGTGAAATGAACAATTATATACAGCTCCAACGCGCGTTATAGATATAAATGAAATGGTTTATATATTATAATAACTTTATAGCATTTATATATCCTAAAATATAACCGGCTCTAATATGAAAAATTATTTGAGGGCATATACAAATCAATTAGACATTAGAAATTCGATAATTTGATTTTCAAAAGTATTCCAAGAAATGTCGATGGACAAAGCTTTTGCATAGTTTTTTGCGAACACGCAAAAGAATTGCACGTCAATATATTAGCAGGAAAAGAGTTTTTGTTACACAAAGCAATCAGTCAGACTGGCTTATGCCTAAAGGGGGGGCTTGAAGCTAGGAACTACTACGACGGTTAAAAACGCAACTCCAAACAGCGGGAGGGGGCAGAACCACGCTACATTCCCAAGAAATCCCAAAAAAAGTAACACTGGCTAAAGACCACAGCTGGCCCTCCGAGCGGATGGACTCCAGAACCACTACGACCGAAGCGAGCGCAGAGTCGAAAACCTTGGAGTTTCGTTCCTTCCACAGCTGCCAGGAGACTAGGAGTACCAGGGAGTCGAAGCCGCTATGGAGGTGCTCAGGTAAACATACCCTGGAGGATGACCACCAATCCTGGAGCCAGCTGCCACGAGGGGGAGAGAGGGCAGCCCAGCCAGGAGGGGACAACACACGGAGCCAGACCTGCCGAGTGAACACGCAATCGATGAGGATGTGGTTCGCTGTCTCAAGCTCCTGAGCACAAAAGGGGCCAGCAGAGTGGCTATCGATACCACGCTTTTGGAGAAGATCGGCAGTCCAGCAGCGCTGCTGAAATGCAAACCAAAGAAAGAACTTGCATTTAGCAGGGCCCTTCACGTGCCAGAGTAAGTTGGCACAGGCAAAAGAGTGCTGGCCAAGGAAGAACGCCTGATACGCCGATCGCGCTGAGTAGCATTGGTCACCCGTCCAACGCCAGACGAGGTGATCCTCAGCACCCGGCGAGAGCTGGGTATGAAGCACCGCGTCCCAGACTAACAGGAACTGAGAGATGACCGGGACAGTGAGGGCGCCACGTATGTCACCAACCCAGGAGTTATTCGCTAACCCAGCTGCAACTGTGCACGATCCCCGGAAGCGTGGAGGCACGGCGTGGAGGAGGTCAGGAGCTATAGAAGCTATCGAGCGACCATCAATCCACCGATCAGTCCAGAAGAGCGTGGACTGACCATCTCCTAGGATAGAGAAGGTGGAAGCTGCGAACATGTCGGAGACGCTCCGCTCAACAGGGGCCTTCAGATCAGACCAGTAGGGGTGTCCCGAGCGCTGAAGCCAGAGCCAGCGAACTCTCAAGG